TACTAATGACATTCTTTAGCTTCTGGCTAATCGTTCATACAATCGTTCATTTCATACAGCAGAGATTACAGGCAAAATTTCTGTTATGCATAACGATTTTACTAGCGTTAATCAATTCGTTATCGTTACACTGGCTTTAATCCGTTAGTGTACGTTATACTGGGAATTTTGTTGATAAAGTTGTATCTAGATTCTTAATGGTATTGAAAATAACTTTCTACAATGATTAACCCATTTTTTGTCAGATTAAAAAAATAAGTCAAAAGGAAGTGTTAGTTTAAAGTCATTTTCTAGTACTTTGTAGCATAACATTGACTAAAAGATAGTTTGTACAATAAAAACGTTAAAAAGTAGTATATACAGTATAATCACTCGATTTAAAATGATATGCAATAACCCTACATAACCAAAAATAATTAAACATCTAAAGAAATATCTGTGGTTGGTAAAGCTTACAAATGTTTATTATAATTAGAAAACAGACTGAAAAATAAAGTTCCTATAACAACCCATCCAACCAAGCCTGTAACAAAGAAAATGATTACTTTTCCTAATCGCCCTCTTCTTGTACGTTTATTACTACTCGTATAGACAACTTCATCTAGGTCATAATCAACTCCGGATATAAAAAGTAATAGTACAATTAAAGCATAATGCCCATCTAATTTAAATGCTGGCAGTATGTTAAGAACACCTAGTGCAAGTGAAAAAGAAATAGTATACCTAAAATAATTTTATACCATATTAAGATTATAAGTAATCATTTAGCTGTGACACATAAAAATAAATTTAAATTTTGTTACCGTAAAATCAACTCGATAGATATTGGAATCCACGTCGGTACCCATGACCATCTGGGTTGAAGGATACTAACTTGTACTAATTTTAATGTATGTGTGTGAAAAACATCCATAAATATATAAGGTTTAAGAAGTTTCAAAATTTCTTCCATCAATTATATTTTGGAACTCACCAATTTCCCACACATCAACAAGTTCTCCAAGATATAATACAAGCTTCTCCTGTTCATTATTTTCTTGAGCCCATGGTGCATCTTTATAAAATATTCTTAAAGGTTTCGGATAACCTTTTGGTGTATATGGTAAAACACACATTGACGATCCAGATGGACAGTCAATATCACGAAGGCAACGTTGTACATCAATATTTACGAGAATTGGTATTGTGGGCAAACATTTCAACTCCTTGAAAAGACATACTTTTGTCAAAAAGGATGTTTCTGATGAAAGTTATTAGAAAAAACAGAAAGACAAACCTGTTTATGCGCATTGTTTTCATCAATTCTTTTAAAACATGTTGTTGTATTATCTTTTGCATTTCCATAAGGATGGTCTGCAGAAATATCACAACAATCCAATGATATCACAAGTCCTTCCTACATCAAGATCATCACGGCAAAGTTACTCTCCGACATTTCACATATCAAATAATCCTT